TGAGGTAAGCACACTTAAAAATGTTAGATTTTTTTAAGAATAATCGTTTGTAGCCAGTCTTCAGAATCCGTGTGTCCCACAGCAAGGTGAAAACACCGTGGGAAAAACCTAACACAATGGGGGACCGTTACTTTGTCCGAAAACAATTTGCCAAGCCCGTCAACAACCAATTTACTCATGCAAAACTCCTAGTTCCCAAATCCCACACTTGCTGAGTCAAATACAACCTCCTATTCTCACCACAATAATGACATGACGAATACGTGCAAGCTAAACAAATAAGCAACAAAAACTAAGAAAATTGCACAAACTTAGAACAAGTTGTTGCTTTATTATCAAGACCCAAACAAATACCAACCAGGTGCAATCTAATAATTTTCCAATTTTCAGCCAAACACCGACCATTATGTCAATGAGTTCTCACCAATTTGTGAAAAATACCTTCGAAGTACTTGAGATATGAGAAACAGCACCAGCATCTACAAGGATAACCTTCTCCTTTGCCTAATTCTGAACAAGAATAAACTATATAACTTTGTTCACGGTCAATAAACTTGTTAATTTTAAAAATTTCTCAGAAACACATCAACAAATTAAGCAAGCGGAAGGCAAAAACAGTTTTCTTCATCTTTTCTTAAAAAGAGGATTGTTGAAAACAATATAACAACAATGGCGACGACATTTATAAAGTAGTAAACTTTCATGCAACATTATGATGAAGTACGCCACTACGAAAATGCTAACTTTTGCAAGAACTAAGTAACAACATCGATTCTAATAACAATAAATAATCCACGCCCTCAAAACAGTTTCTTTATTTCATGTATCGTTACTACTGTTGACTTGCCGTCCAACTGTTCTTCCCCACCGGCCTCATCCTGCACCTCTGGTTTCTGCTTTCGCACTGCCTTCATCTGTCGAGATGACCAAATTTTAATTTCTGTAAAAAGCCAAAAACAAGAGTTGACTTCCAATATACCCAATTTCTGATGGAGAACAATAGGAAATTCCGTTACAGATTTTTAAAAGATATTTTGCAAAAAATAGTTCTGCAAAACTTACACGGAAATACCATAAAATTTAGTCAAGAAAGTGATTTCCCTTTTAACCTAACCTAATGCCAGCAGGGAATTATCATTAACTCAGTAGCTAACAACTGGTCTAAAATAATTGTTACAAAAAGTATTACTAAACCAATATCCAGGATTCTGTAAGTTTTAGGAGTATATAATACCCGCTTTTGATTTAGTAAACACTACAAAATTAAAATATTTATTTCACAAATACTTAAACTTAAAAACTTTTTCTTTTAAAGAACCTCACTCAAAAACTGACATGGAAACTTAATTCAAGTAATTTTTTGAATGTGAACTTTTGATAGTGCAACAAAAGCATTTTATATAAAAAGAAGAACAAACCCAGCTCGCTAGTGTCTTCACCAAGCATACGCAACACGTGAACTCGTTCTTCCTTACTAATGTAAGGAGTAACAAAATTAGCTCCCATCCATGCGCAAACAACAGCTCGGTAACTACAATTCATTTACATAATAAACAGTGTAAAATAATACAACTATAGAAAAAACGGAAAAGTACTTGTTGTGCTCGGTCACCAATATAATACTTCCTGAACTAAATGACTGAAGAGCTTCACCGCACTTTAGTTTCGACCGGGGAACATTTTCATTACCGTCTTCAGGCTTCAGCAGCCGGCACATATCGTCCAAATCAATTGACATTATTCTCTTTTTCACGAAGGGAAAGATAGTGTGAAGACCCTACAACCTAATAAGGGCAATGCACAAGGTAAAATACAAAGAATAGTTATAAAGACTATCAAAAAATTTGTGAAAGCAACAAGCGAAGCCAAACCTTTTATTAGAAATTAATCATTGAATGAACTGTGCAACAGTAGACGAAAGGTAAATACTTACATCTTGTGCCAAGCGAAAGTTACACTGCTGAAACTTATGTTCTACTCGGCCAAACATCTTAATACCAGCGTTAATCACTTTTACCTAAAGTTAATAATAATTTGAATAATTTAAACACTTCAAGAGTGGTGGCTTTATGGCCAAAAACGTTATAAAAATTCCTTCAGTGGTCATTTTATTGCAGAACCAAACAAAAAAAAAAATAAAACTAACTCTCCCTTGATTGAACTCCAGAAAATTTTTCACAGCATCATTAACAAAATAAAGCGTTCTTTTTCTATCTGTGTCGGCGATACGGCCTAAAAGATTTTCGTACGGGAATGAGCCAGAAATACCATAGTGTTCTCTAAAAGAATCGGCAAGTGTGTAATTGAAAAAACCAGTATCTTATGAAAACTTTTGAAAACGACTTACGCAATATTTTTCCATCTGTCATCATCCTTTTCCAAAAAAATGAATGGATCTTCCTTGAAAGATTTTGACCTCTTACAGCGATGTCTGAAATAAATTTATACCATAAAAAGAGGTCTTTTAGCTGGAGTTGTTTTTCCAGTTGGGCTAAACCTAGAAATCTTAGATACAAGAGGAGCATAAGTATATACTATCTGAAATATACGTGGACCATTCCACGCTCATCACAAAGCTGCGCAAATAATACAAGAGCACCTAAAAATAAAGAACATTGTGAGGCTTAGAAAATGCTTTTTTTCAAACTTATTATAAACATAATTTTGTTAAAAAATTTTACGCTTCCAAACCAGGTCATATTAAGTCAAAATTTTCATTTTTTTAGAAGGGTGCTCATTATTTGCCATAGGGGCTAAATAGAGCAAACTCAACTGTTCTGCAAGCCCAAATTTGAGAACCATTATCAACGCAGTTTTGAAGAAAACAGAGAATATTAAGTGGAAGGTGAATGATTTATGGTGGAAGGATCTGATTAAAAAAAGCAAACAAAGAAACAAACACAATTACATATCATTATTTTTTTTTGATCAGGTGAACTACTCACATTGCTCTAACTGGTAAGCTGACTCTTGAGTCCTTAGTTTTCTGCAAAACAGCAACAAAGAAACCACCGGTATCTTGAGTATGAGGCAGAATCCGAAAGCTAGAAAAGAAAAAACGAATTGTAAAAGCCTCAAGAGCACCCCTGAATGATATTTTTTACCTCCTCTCAAGATTCATTACTTTAACTTCCTGCTCACTGGGAGGGAAAAAAGATGGAACGAAATGTGATCTAGCGTTCTGAGGAACATCATCTACGCTCTTGATAATTTTCATGTTCTTATCGATGACCTAAAGTTAAGTTATTTACTTAAAACTTATATTAAACAAACTATACAACCAAATAAGAAAATGAAATAAATCCCAAGTATACCAGCAAATAATTCATATTAACTAGCCAGTCATTGAACACTTAATCAAACACTAGCAAAATTAATTAGTTTGTATAAACATACAGATAAACAGTTAAATTTTCTTCTCCTACGTAAAATTTACTTTCCAAGAAGTTAGCCCAGGAGACCGCTTCAAGCCAGGGAGTTTTGACGAAACGTCTACAAGCTCCACTGTACCCTCAAAAGCCCTAAGTAATTCTGCAACGACTGCTTCGTCTTCTATGGGGTTGAAGGAACAAGTTGAATAAACCATTAGCCCTGCAAGTGCAACTATTTTTTCAGAGCCATATCACTGATTCGCTCAAACAAAAACTGAAACTAAGTTCGCTTTGTAATACAGACCAGAAAAGACTAGCACTTAAAAAAGGCAAAAAACTTCTACTTAAGAACTAGCGGTTACTAACCACCAACAGCAAGCAGTTGTAGAGCACGACGCGCTATGCTTATTTGCAGTTTATGCAAAGAATTCCCCTACAAATATATTGTTTTGAACTTTAAACAATTCTTTTATTCTGGGGAAAAGGCATAACCATGAAC